CCCCCCCCCCCCCCCGGGGCTTCGCCCGAGAAGCAGCCACAGGGCTGGAAGCCGGCCTGTTTGCAGGCGCCTGGCGCTTCTCTGACCGTGCAACCCGCCGGACTTTTGAGGGGATGCCAGCTGTCTGAGTTCAGCCGGCTGGAAAGGGCCTCCTGCTCCGGGGGATCAAGAGGAACAAGGACGACGCAAGCCTAGGCAGGGCTGGGCAAGTGAGTCCTCCTCCGCCATCAGGCCAAAACAGCCTTCCCCAGGCTGGTGGGGAAAGATGGAAGCTGTAGGTAGAAGCTAGCAGGCCGGAGAAGCTGGGCTAGGCACGCTGCTTACAAGCAACATCCTCACTGCTTTTCTGATTCTGGATCTCGGTGGGAGTTTTTCCGCCTGCCTTTTACTGTCCCAGGCTCTCAAGCGCTTTCTCCCAGGCCTGTGCAGTCCACAGCCCACCTAGCAATGGAACTTCTCTGACGCTTTGGCTGGGGGCAATCAATCAATCAATGCCCCTCACATCAGTCATGCATGTCATTGCCACTCCAGACTCCCCTCTGTTTTGCTGGAAAGCTGCCAATAAGCTGAAAGGTACCCAGACTTGGGGGTGGGGGGAGAGGGGGAAAGCAGCATGCATCTGGAGAGGTTTTAGGAACTGGGATGCAAGGGGACTATACCCGCCTCGGCCATCCTCACCACCCACACCCTGCTCAAGACAAAAAGTAGCGGACGGCTTTGTTGTAAAGGTTATGATGGAGAGAACTCAAGAAGAGCAGTTAATGGAAAAGGGCGAGCTGGGCACCACAGCTGCTGGAATCCACTTGGCTCTTACACAGAAGCACCAGGGCACAGAACTGACCGCCCTCCAACAATTCAGTCCCAAGCCATCCTCTCTAATAACTGGTACCGCCCTCCAACTTGGAAGCATTCTCATGTGCATCAAATAGACTTGTGCAGAACCAAACACTCTTCAGTGACAGGCAAGACCTTGCTCCGGTGTCACTTGCTCTGATGGCTTCTTGCTACAGTGGCCTCTCCAGTATCAGAAAGAGGCCTGGTTTTCTCTTGAGCGTGGAGGAAATTCTTCCTGACCTTGTAAACAATATCCTTGCCGGTGATTTATTCATTTACAGAGACCCGATTACATCCGGCCATTCCTTTGTTGTTTTTGCTATATTAATAATAGAGCCACAGAAGAATGTGTCCTTAAGGGTATTAGCATATCTCAAAGTCGGCTACAATGTGAGCAATTAAGATATATGTGTAATAAAAGAGAGTAATGAAAACAGGGTGTGTTGTATAAACACAAGAGATGTGAATCTGGATTCCCTGCCCTGGAACAGTCCAGGACCAGTGGGAGGATTTCCCTTTGGGGGATCTGGCTGCTCACTGGAGAACCGAAAGCTTGTCCTGTTCAGCCTCTGATCAGACCCAGCATGGACTTCCCTCTCTTCCTAGGGGCAGAGACTCTTCCAGCAGGGAAGCTACCTCTAGGACAGTGTTGTCCAAACCTGGCCACTTTGAGTGGACTTCAACTCCCAGAATTCCCCAGCCAGCCATGGGAGTTGAAGTCCACTCACCTTAAAGTGGCCAAGTTTGGACAACACTGCTCTAGGAAGATTATCTTGTAATTCCTGTGCAGCTGCCCCAGTGGTGGGCTTGGAAGGGCACCTAATTCTGCAAGGGGTCCTGAACGCGCTGGAGAGGGCCACAATTTTCCCTTGAAAGCAAGACACATGAACCGTGTTTGTGACCAGAACTTTGCTGACGGCGAGGGCTTGATCGTTATCAACGTTAAATGTGCGCTTTGCCTTCCTATTCCAGCCCATCGTTCCTTCTTCCCAACTGCAGCCAGCCCATTCCCTCCCACCTTCTCAGGCCCACCAGCCCCCCCTTCGTCGCTGGTCTCCCCCTGAAGAGGCCAGGAGAACATTCCCTGGACGGCGGGGGGAGGGCCCCTTCCAGAAGCCCCGGTGCCCAGTGCCCAGTGCCCAGCTCAGTGACCGAGGCCGCAGCAACGAGGGCCTTGCAGAGGGCACTGCTCCCGGCAAGGCACCACATCCCGGCCTTTCTCCACCTCGTTTCCTCTCCTGCCCAGCCCGGAAATGCGGGGCCTGATTAGCTCCCCAGGAGGCGTTCTGGAAGCGCCCTTTGTTCGGCCCCCGGCCCTCCCCTTTCCCCCCACGTGGCACTTCTCCAGACACGTGGGACTACAGCTCCCATAAGCAAGAGCCTGCTGGGAATCATGGGGTGGTGTCGTCCAACACCTCCAAAGGGCCCCATCCTGGAGGAGCTGCCCCAAATACCCCCTCCCCGTGCTCCCGATCACACCGACTCCTCCTCCCACGATCTCCATTCATTTTTCTCAAATATTCAAATAGGGCAAAACGTAGCCCCGCTTTCCCCGCGCTGAGCCAATCACAGCGAAGAGAAGGAGAAAAGGGGAGGGCACACGGCACGGTTATTCCCATTGGCCGCCATTCCTGTCAATCTTGCCCAATCTCCGCCCTTACCTCGAAAACTGCCGAAGACGCCCCGCCCCCGGCCCCGCTTCTCTTTACCGGCCCCGGTTGCCGGCTACCTCTGAGGGGAAGCGGCCGGCTCGAACGGCTAGAACAAGACACCGAGGGGGGTCGGTGGCCTCAGCGGCTAAGGCACTGCTTTTTTCCTGCGCACTAAGCGCCGGTTTCTCCGCGAGTGCTGACTCGTTCTGACCGGCCGGGCGAAGGAATAATGCGCATGCGCCACAACCGCGCCTGCGAGCCGGCCG